CGCAGCTAGAAAAAGGAAGGTGGGGGATCAGAGAGTAGGGGGGGGGAAGGAGAGGGAGAGGGACAGAGAGAGAAAGAGTCGGGTTCTTAGGAAGCTGACTAATCATCTTGTTGAGTCTGCAAAGAGAAGAGTTTAGTCAATTCCATTCTTGCGGTTTCCGCGGAGATCTTCACGTGTGAAAGGCGAGGGGCTTGAGAAAGCGTTGTCTGTAAAACTGACAGATGCTGCACATGCTGCTTTACTTTGGGCTGGCCCAAAATGTTTTTTAAAAACCATCCCTGTAAAGGCGAGGCATTTCCTAAAGGATAAAGAATAATGGGAAGGGATCTCTTCCCACCCCCGCCCCACCTTTCCGTACCGTGTTTCCAATCACATGTAAGGTATTCCCGGGAGGCATGAACATCTCTTAACCAGCTGTCCGGTTCTTTTCGTCCTGACTTTTTTTGTCTGCAGCCCTTATATGCCCAGAGAGCAAGAAACGCTTGCTTCCCAAGGAACAGACGTAGGATCTGGCTGCTGATGGGTTTGAGGTACTCTTCTGGGAAGCTGCGAAAGTTTCTAATTTATCTTCCTCTATTTTCAAACTCTAGAAGGACATCGTAAACCACATTCGCTACCCAGAAAAGCCGGAAGAAGGGTCGCCATAAATCAGAATTGACTCGGCGGCACAGGATTATCATTTATTTATTTGACTGACGGGTCTCTATCGATGAAAACCCGACTGTATGTGCTTGTTTAGCAGAGACAGGAGAAAAACTATAATGAACTTTCCTTAAAACGTACAGCGTATTTCCGAATTAATCGAGAAAGCAGTGAACCTTTTTAGGAATTCAAACTGTTATTTTTAGTAGGGAGACCCCGGCACGCGCAGAGGCGAGCGAAATATGAATGGTTGCCTGCTTTCTTAAAAGGAAACCGGCTGATTCCGTGGGAGACGTCGTGTGTGTGTGTGTGGGGGGGAGCGAACCAAAATCTACGGCTTTAGAAGCAAAGCCTGACTGATATCCACGGAACTTCCTAGTATTGGGGGCTGGGGTGGAATTCCCCTTCTGTTTTTAATTGAGCCAATCTAAAAGGGGAAAGAATGAGGAGCAGAAGAGCGAAAGAAGAGTGCAAAGGGTTTGCTCTTCTGAAGTTGGTGGCATTTCAACCAAAAGTTGGTGGTAACTGCGTTTCTTAAATGGCTGGAGTTTTAAAAAAAAGGTGTACACACACTCACACACCCAAATCTACGTATTACTGTACTAGGAGCGCTTCGTGTTTCTGTGCCCACCCGCAACCCCATTTACTTGGAAGTAAGCCCCACCCCTGGTTGTACTGCCATGGACCCTTTCCTAGATGCCTCTCCACACACATTTACACAGGCGTAAACGATGGCCTCAGCCTCTCTGGGACCTCTCCGATTCTGCCGCCTGGCGCAGCTCCGGCCCTCCCTCCCCTCTCGCCTCCGCCTTCATCCGCTTTACCCCCCCCCCCGCTGCCTTTTGGGAATCCAGCACTCGAGTTGGCCGCCTTAGCTTCGGCGTGGATGTGCCTTCCTTATTAAAGCGCTTTCATAACAATAATCGAATTAATTAGGGAGAGCCTCCTCCTCAGCCCCGGCCTGCTTAAGGCCTCCGATGACAATACTGAT